ACCAAACATCAATACACTGTGTACACCTGTCAATACCACAACCAAACATCAATACACTGTGTACACCTGTCAATACCACAACCAAACATCAATACACTGTGTACACCTGTCAATACCACAACCAAACATCAATACACTGTGTACACCTGTCACTACTACAACCAAACATCAATACACTGTGTACACCTGTCAATACCACAACCAAACATCAACACACTGTGTACACCTGTCAATCCCACAACCAAACATCAATACACTGTGAACACCTGTCACTACTACAACCAAACATCAATACACTGTGTACCCCTGTCAATACCACAACCAAACATCACTACACTGTGTACACCTGTCACTACTACAACCAAACATCAATACACTGTGAACACCTGTCACTACTACAACCAAACATCAATACACTGTGTACCCCTGTCACTACTACAACCAAACATCAATACACTGTGAACACCTGTCAATACCACAACCAAACATCAATACACAGTGTACACCTGTCAATACCACAACCAAACATCAATACACTGGGGTAACCCACGGAAAATCAATGATTACCCTTATGAGAATATCGATAATAATGAGACCAAAATTGGAATTGATGGTAATTAAAACAATGTTCAGACTGACCACTTAATAAAAAGTTGAGAAATGTCAACTTTGTGAAGTAGAGCTCACTTTTAAGAGTCGGATGTAAAACATAATCACAAAGAGTCCACACTTTTTTGACTCACGAACATTTCACACTTGTTTGACTCACAAAGAGTACACAATTGTTTGACTTACGAAGAGTACACACTTGTTTGACTCACGAAGAGTACACACTTGTTTGACTCACGAAGAGTTTACACTTGTTTGACTCACGAAGAGTACACACTTGTTTGACTCACGAAGAGAACACACTTGTTTGACTCACAAGGAGTACACATTGGCTTGACTCACAAAGAGTACACACTTGCCTCACAAAGAGTACACACTTGTTTGACTCACAAAGAGTTCACACTTGTTTGACTCACAAAGAGTACACACTTGCCTCACAAAGAGTACACACTTGTTTGACTCACGAAGAGAACACACTTGTTTGACTCACGAAGAGTACACACTTGCTTGACTCTTAGAGAGTACACTTGTTTGTCTCACAAAGAGTACACACTTGCCTCACAAAGAGTACACACTTGTTTGATTCACAAAGAGTTCACACTTGTTTGACTCAAAAAGAGTCCACACTTGTTTGACACACAAAGAGTCCACACTTGTTTGACTCACGAAGAGTACACACTTGCTTGACTCACAAAGAGTCCACACTTGACTCACAAAGAGTCCACACTTGACTCACAAAGAGTCCACACTTGTTTGACTCACAAAGAGTCCACACTTGTTTGAATCACAAAGAGTACACACTTGTTTCACTCACAAAGAGTACACAATTGTTTGACTCACAAAGAGTACACACTTGGTTGAATCACGAAGAGTACACACTTGTTTGACTCACGAAGAGTACAAATTTGTTTGACTCAAGAAGAGTACACACTTGTTTGACTCACAAAGAGTACACACTTTTTTACTCACGAAGAGTACACACTTGTTTGACTCACAAAGAGTAAACACATGTTTGACTCACAAAGAGTACACACTTGTTTGACTTACAAAGAGTCCACACTTGTTTGACTCACAAAGAGTACACACTTTTTTGACTTACAAAGAGTCCACACATGTTTGACTCGCAAAGAGTTCACACTTGTTTGACTCACAAAGAGGACACACTTGCTTGACTCACAAAGAATAAACACTTGCCTCACAAAGAGTACACACTTGTTTGACTCACAAAGAGTCCACACATGTTTGACTCACAAAGAGTATACACTTGTTTGACTTACAAAGAGTCCACACATGTTTGACTCACAAAGAGTATACACTTGTTTGACTTACAAAGAGTCCACACTTGTTTGACTCACAAAGAGTACACACTTGTTTGACTTACAAAGAGTCCACACTTGTTTGACTCACAAAGAGTACACAATTGTTTGACTCACAAAGAGTCCACACTTGTTTGAATCACAAAGAGTACACACTTGTTTGACTCCCAAAGAGTACACAATTGTTTGACTCACAAAGAGTCCACACTTGTTTGAATCACAAAGAGTACACACTTGTTTGACTCACAAAGAGTACACAATTGTTTGACTCACAAAGAGTTCACACTTGTTTGACTCACAAAGAGTACACTTGTTTGTCTCACAAAGAGTACACACTTGCCTCACAAAGATTACACACTTGCCTCTCAAAGAGTACAAATTTGTTTGACTCACGAAGAGTACACATCTGTTTGACTCACAAAGAGTACACACTTTCTTGACTAACAAAGAGTACACACTTGCCTCACTAAGAGTACACACTTGCCTCACAAAGAGAACACACTTGCCTCACAAAGATTACACACTTGCCTCTCAAAGAGTACAAATTTGTTTGACTCACGAAGAGTACACATCTGGTTGACTCACAAAGAGTACACACTTGCTTGACTTACAAAGAGTACACAATTGTTTGACTTACAAAGAGTCCACACATGTTTGACTCACAAAGAGTCCACACATGTTTGACTCTCACAGAGTACACACTTGACTCACAAAGAATACACACTTGACTCACAAAGAGTCCATACTTGTTTGACTCACAAAGAGTCCACACATGTTTGACTCTCACAGAGTACACACTTGACTCACAAAGAGTACACACTTTTTTACTCACGAAGAGTACACACTTGTTTGATTCACTTGTTTGACTCACGAAGAGTACACATCTGGTTGACTCACAAAGAGTACACACTTGCTGACTCACGAAGAGTACACACTTGTTTGACTCACGAAGAGTTCACACTTGTTTGATTCACGAAGAGAACACACTTGTTTGACTCACAAGGAGTACACACTTGCTTGACTCAAAAAGAGTACACACTTGCCTCACAAAGAGAACACACTTGTTTGACGCACAAAGAGTCCACACCTGTTTGACTCACAAAGAGCACACACTTGACTCACAAAGAGTACACACGTGACTCACAAAGAGTCCACACTTGTTTGAATCACAAAGAGTACACACTTGTTTGACTACATTGGCTTGACTCACAAAGAGTACACACTTGACTAACAAAGAGTCCACACTTGTTTGACTCAAAAAGAGTCCACACTTGTTTGAATCACAAAGAGTACACACTTGTTTGACTTACAAAGAGTCCACACTTGTTTGACTCAAAAAGAGTCCACACTTGTTTGAATCACAGAGAGTACACACTTGTTTGACTCACAAAGAGTACACAATCGTTTGACTCACAAAGAGTTCACACTTGTTTGATTCACGAAGAGAACACACTTGTTTGACTCACAAGGAGTACACACTTGCTTGACTCAAAAAGAGTACACACTTGCCTCACAAAGAGTACACACTTGCTTGACTCATAAAGAGTACACACATGTTTGACTCACAAAGAGTCCACACATGTGTGACTCACAAAGAGTACACACTTGACTAACAAAGAGTCCACACTTGTTTGACTCACAAAGAGTAAACACATGTTTGACTCACAAAGAGTACACACTTGACTAACAAAGAGTCCACACTTGTTTGAATCACAAAGAGTACACACTTGTTTGAATCACAAAGAGTACACACTTGTTTGAATCACAAAGAGTACACACATGCTTGACTCACAAAGAGTACACAATTGTTTGACTTACAAAGAGTCCACCCATGTTTGACTCGCAAAGAGTACACACTTGTTTGACTCCCAAAGAGTACACAATTGTTTGACTCACAAAGAGTACACACTTGCTTGACTCACAAAGAGTCCACACTTGACTCACAAAGTTTGACTTACAAAGAGTCCACACTTGTTTGACTCAAAAAGAGTCCACACTTGTTTGAATCACAAAGAGTACACACTTGCTTGACTCACAAAGAGTACACAATTGTTTGACTTACAAAGAGTCCACACATGTTTGACTCGCAAAGAGTACACACTTGTTTGACTCACAAAGAGTACAAATTTGTTTGACTCACGAAGAGTACACACTTGTTTGACTCACAAAGAGTCCACACTTGACTCACAAAGAGACCACACTTGACTCACAAAGAGTACACACGTGACTCACAAAGAGTCCACACTTGTTTGAATCACAAAGAGTACACACTTGCTTGACTCACAAAGAGTACACAATTGTTTGACTTACAAAGAGTCCACACATGTTTGACTCACAAAGAGTCCACACATGTTTGACTCACAAAGAGTCCACACTTGACTCACAAAGAGACCACACTTGACTCACAAAGAGTACACACTTGCTTGACGCACAAAGAATAAACACTTGCCTCACAAAGAGTACACACTTGCTTGACTCATAAAGAGTACACACTTGTTTGACTCACGAAGAGTACAAATTTGTTTGACTCACGAAGAGTACACACCTGTTTGACTCACAAAGAGTACACACTTGTTTGACTGACGAAGAGTACACACTTGTTTGACTCACAAAGAGTACACTCACAAAGAGTAAACACTTGTTTGACTCACAAAGAGTTCACACTTGTTTGACTAACAAAGCATAGAAATACGTTTTGAATAGTACATTAGCTAAACTAACAGCATATTTGTTGTTGTTTATTGTTTGATTACCAAACTGACCAATCACTCCAATACCTTCCTACTGAGTAACCAGTTACAAACATGGGTCTAGTTTGAAAGCCAGAGTTTTAACGGATATTAGAAAATCTTTAGGTAAATCAAGATCATTACACATATAAGAGCAAATTTTATAACCCTCCCTCGTGCCCACTTCAGGCAAAATATACCAACAACCTAAACCTCTTGGTCAAAGTTGAGGAAAGTTGTTCAAAATTTTACAAATTAATGAACCCTTTGACCTTGAAATTGTCAAAGTAATTCATTTAAACAAACTTTATCATAGCATACTAAAGGCCAAGTTATATCATTTTTGACAATTTTGACCTTCAACCTTGAAAGTGGGTCAATAAATTTGGTAGGTCCCTTGGTTGTTTATAAACTGGTTCTAGATATGTTGATATCAATGCTATGTCATGGTACAAGCTCACACAAGGCAGGTGATCAGCTAAAATGACTTTAATTAAAACATCCTGGGTATTAATCCCCATTAAAAACTAATGTGGTCGAAATTACTTACTTTTAATAGTATCATTTTGGACTATATTAGTAAGCATTATTTGGAATTCAATGGTGTTCACAAGGAGATGTTCTAATTATAACTTCATTTTAGATACGCATTTTCAAAACATAGGAATTTCTCTGAAATAAGCTTGGCTACATCATGTTTAAACTTCACTTTACAGCAACTTTACAATATCTCATAGAGAAATATTGAAACTGATTACTGATATAACTTGTGAATTTCTAGTTGGAAAACCCATAAATAATTAAAAATATTTTAAAACATAGGATTTTTTTGGAAAAATTCCACAAGCTGACAATGCTTAAAGCAACTGAACACAATTCTATGTTCTGTACCCACCCTCTGGTAGGCCTGGTCAACTTCTTGCTGTTTGGCCTGCTCAAGTACAAGTATCTCTTCTTGATGGCACTGTTCTTTGGCCTCCAGCTGGTCCCGGAAGTTGTCGTCAACTTTTCTCAGCTTCTCTATAGCAACACTGTGAATGACACAAGGCAGATGTTCCCCTCAATGACGGTATGTCTAACTTACAACATTAATACATTGGTTTTCTTTGGAAGAAAAAAGATGAACTGAAAGACAAGGTGATTTTTTTACTCTATTGGCAACAAATATAGACACAACCCTAACTAAATGTTGATATGAAATACACCTCATCTTCAACACACAAGGACACAATATCAATTCAATGTCATTGCAGAATTTTACCACATTCCCAATACATAAGGATTCAATCTGAACTTAAAGTCAATACAGAAAGTACCACTTCCTCAACACACAACAGGGGACAAAATCTAAGTCTAGTTTGGTTTGGTTTAGTATTGTTTAACATCCTATCAACAGCTATGGTCATTTAAGGACGGATCTAACTTGATAACAAGAGGCCCATAGGGCCTGTATCGCAAACTTTGTCGACTCCATCTGTTGAAACTACCAGCAAAATATTATTATAAGATTCTATGCTTTTTTATTCTTCTTCAGAAGTTGCTCAACATATTTTCCCCTGTGACCTTGTAAGTAGGTCAATGTCATTTTCCTTCTTAAATTGGTAAGCTCTATTGCAAAACGCTACCAGCAAAATCTTATGAATCCATTCCTTTTAGTCCTTTAAAATGTTGTTGACCTCTGTGACCTCTAAAGTAGGTTGAGGTCATTTTCATTCGCAAACTTTGGTGAGCTCTATCCCAGGAAATAACCAGCCAAATATAAAGATTCTATACCTTTCAGTTCTTCAGAAGAAGTCGTTTGAAGTGTTTGACATATTTGACCCCTGTGACCTTAAAAGTAGAACAAGGTCATGATCATTCTCAAACTTTGTCGTGTTCCTACCAACAAAGCTTTCAGCCAAATATTATGACATTAAAACCAGGTGTAAGTTAAGTTGATGGAGTCTCATTAAAACTAGGTGTAAGTTAAGTTGACGGACTTTCATTAAAACTAGGTGTAAGTTTAGTTGATGGAGTCTCATTAAAACTAGGTGTAAGTTAAGTTGATGGCGTCTCATTAAAACTAGGTGTAAGTTAAGTTGATGGAGTATCATTAAAACAAGGTGTAAGTTAAGTTGATGGAGTCTCATTAAAACTAGGTGTAAGTTAAGTTGATGGAGTATCATTAAAACAAGGTGTAAGTTAAGTTGATGGACTTTCATTAAAACTAGGTGTAAGTTTAGTTGATGGACTCTCATTAAAACCAGGTGTAAATTAAGTTGATGGACTCTCATTAAAACCAGGTGTAAGTTTAGTTGATGGACTCTCATGAAAACTAGGTGTAAGTTTAGTTGATGGACTCTCATTAAAACCAGGTGTTAGTTTAGTTGATGGAACCTCATTAAAACTAGGTGTAAGTTTAGTTGATGGACTCTCATTAAAACCAGGTGTAAATTAAGTTGATGGAACCTCATTAAAACTAGGTGTAAGTTTAGTTGATGGACTCTCATTAAAACCAGGTGTAAATTAAGTTGATGGACTCTCATTAAAACTAGGTGTAAGTTAAGTTGATGGAGTCTCATTAAAATTAGGTGTAAGTTTAGTTGATGGACTCTCATTAAAACCAGGTGTAAATTAAGTTGATGGACTCTCATTAAAACTAGGTGTAAGTTAAGATGATGGAACCTCATTAAAACTAGGTGTAAGTTAAGATGATGGAACCTCATTAAAACCAGGTGTAAGTTAAGTTGATGGAACCTTATTGAAACTAGGTGTAAGCTAAGTTAATGGAACCTCATTAAAACTAGGTGTAAGTACAAGTGTTTTTAGCTGATACAAACTTGTGCTAAAACTATCATATGGCCAGAGTGACCTACATATTGTCTCATGTAACCTGTAGAGTCTATGAACCTACTTTGCAGCATGGATGGCCTTGTCCCGTTCGTCCTGTAGTTTACGTTCCTTGCCTTCCCAGTTATCCCTCATCTCCCGTACCTGCTTCTCCAGTCCACCAATCAGCTGGGACTTCTCCTTCCACTTGTTGTTCAGGATGCTGTAAAGATAAAAAGTTATAGTCCACTTTGAAAGAATGACAAACATAGAAATTTCCTGCTTTTTCAGGGAGGGACAATACAATGAGAACAGGTAACTGCTATGAGCCTTGTTGGATTATCAGAACAGGTAACTGACCTATGGTCCTTGTTGGGTTATCAGAACAGGTAACTGACCTTTGATGTTGGGTTTTCAGAACAGGTAACTGACCTATGATGTTGGATTATCAGAACAGGTAACTGACCTATGATGTTGGGTTATCAGAACAGGTAACTGACCTATAGCCTTGTTGGATTCTCAGAACAGGTAACTGACCTATGATGTTGGGCTATCAGAACAGGTAACTGACCTATGATGTTGGGTAATCAGAACAGGTAACTGACCTATGGTCCTTGTTGGGTTATCAGGAGAGGTATAACTGACCTATGAGCCTGGTTGGGTTATCAGGAGAGGTAACTGACCTATGAGCCTTGTTGGGTTATCAGAACAGGTAACTGACCTATGAGCGGGTTGGGTTTTCAGGAGAGGTAACTGACCTATGAGCCTGGTTGGGTTATCAGGAGAGGTAACTGACCTATGAGCCTTGTTGGGATATCAGAACAGGTAACTGACCTATGGTCCTTGTTGGGGTATCAGGAGAGGTATGACTTACCTATGAGCCTGTTTGGGTTATCAGGAGAGGTAACTGACCTATGAGCCTGGTTGGATTGGTCCAGTTCTCCCTGGAGTTCTGACAGCTGTTGTTTCAGGTCCTGTTTCCTTTCTCTCAGTCTCTCCAGTGTGTCCTGTGTGATACAGTGGTTATGTAATTATAATGTAACTGTTATACATAACTTACAAATGACATTTGTTAGTTATTAGCCCAAACGGTGATATAACCCATTGTAGAGAGATGTTACAGACTTACAGGACAACAAGACATCCAGAAGAATATCGGTATTGTTCTTACTCGACTGATGATACTCGTGAAACACGGTACATTTTGTATTCAATGTGTGAAACCATTAAATACACTTTATTTAATGAGACATGATCAAGTTTAACAATTTAATGATACACAGAGTATTCTGATCTGAGAGGTTTTTCAGCCATTCCGTCATCCTCGAAATTCCACGGGTTATGCTCACTGAGGTTCTCTGTAGCCCTGGAATATGTTTCCTTATCCTGACAGGGGTGAAGAAAACGTAATCAAGCATAACCCCTGGAGTTTCCTTATCCTGACAGGGGTGAAGAGAACGTAATCGAGCGTAACCCCTGGAGTTTCTTTATCCTGACAGGGGTGAAGAGAACGTAATCGAGCGTTACCCCTGGAGTTTCCTATTCTGACAGGGGTGAAGAGAACGTAATCGAGCGTTACCCCTGGAGTTTCCTTATCCTGACAGGGGTGAAGAGAACGTAATCGAGCGTTACCCCTGGAGTTTCCTTATCCTGACAGGGGTGAAGAGAACGTAATCGAGCGTTACCCCTGGAGTTTCCTTATCCTGACAGGGGTGAAGAGAACGTAATCGAGCGTTACCCCTGGAGTTTCCTTATCCTGACAGGGGTGAAGAGAACGTAATCGAGCGTTACCCCTGGAGTTTCCTTATCCTGACAGGGGTGAAGAGAACGTAATCGAGCGTTACCCCTGGAGTTTCCTTATCCTGACAGGGGTGAAGAGAACGTAATCGAGCGTTACCCCTGGAGTTTCCTTATCCTGACAGGGGTGAAGAGAACGTAATCGAGCGTTACCCCTGGAGTTTCCTTATCCTGACAGGGGTGAAGAGAACGTAATCGAGCGTTACCCCTGGAGTTTCCTTATCCTGACAGGGGTGAAGAGAACGTAATCGAGCGTTACCCCTGGAGTTTCCTTATCCTGACAGGGGTGAAGAGAACGTAATCGAGCGTTACCCCTGGAGTTTCCTTATCCTGACAGGGGTGAAGAGAACGTAATCGAGCGTTACCCCTGGAGTTTCCTTATCCTGACAGGGGTGAAGAGAACGTAATCGAGCGTTACCCCTGGAGTTTCCTTATCCTGACAGGGGTGAAGAGAACGTAATCGAGCGTTACCCCTGGAGTTTCCTTATCCTGACAGGGGTGAAGAGAACGTAATCGAGCGTTACCCCTGGAGTTTCCTTATCCTGACAGGGGTGAAGAGAACGTAATCGAGCGTTACCCCTGGAGTTTCCTTATCCTGACAGGGGTGAAGAGAACGTAATCGAGCGTTACCCCTGGAGTTTCCTTATCCTGACAGGGGTGAAGAGAACGTAATCGAGCGTTACCCCTGGAGTTTCCTTATCCTGACAGGGGTGAAGAGAACGTAATCGAGCGTTACCCCTGGAGTTTCCTTATCCTGACAGGGGTGAAGAGAACGTAATCGAGCGTTACCCCTGGAGTTTCCTTATCCTGACAGGGGTGAAGAGAACGTAATCGAGCGTTACCCCTGGAGTTTCCTTATCCTGACAGGGGTGAAGAGAACGTAATCGAGCGTTACCCCTGGAGTTTCCTTATCCTGACAGGGGTGAAGAGAACGTAATCGAGCGTTACCCCTGGAGTTTCCTTATCCTGACAGGGGTGAAGAGAACGTAATCGAGCGTTACCCCTGGAGTTTCCTTATCCTGACAGGGGTGAAGAGAACGTAATCGAGCGTTACCCCTGGAGTTTCCTTATCCTGACAGGGGTGAAGAGAACGTAATCGAGCGTTACCCCTGGAGTTTCCTTATCCTGACAGGGGTGAAGAGAACGTAATCGAGCGTTACCCCTGGAGTTTCCTTATCCTGACAGGGGTGAAGAGAACGTAATCGAGCGTTACCCCTGGAGTTTCCTTATCCTGACAGGGGTGAAGAGAACGTAATCGAGCGTTACCCCTGGAGTTTCCTTATCCTGACAGGGGTGAAGAGAACGTAATCGAGCGTTACCCCTGGAGTTTCCTTATCCTGACAGGGGTGAAGAGAACGTAATCGAGCGTTACCCCTGGAGTTTCCTTATCCTGACAGGGGTGAAGAGAACGTAATCGAGCGTTACCCCTGGAGTTTCCTTATCCTGACAGGGGTGAAGAGAACGTAATCGAGCGTTACCCCTGGAGTTTCCTTATCCTGACAGGGGTGAAGAGAACGTAATCGAGCGTTACCCCTGGAGTTTCCTTATCCTGACAGGGGTGAAGAGAACGTAATCGAGCGTTACCCCTGGAGTTTCCTTATCCTGACAGGGGTGAAGAGAACGTAATCGAGCGTTACCCCTGGAGTTTCCTTATCCTGACAGGGGTGAAGAGAACGTAATCGAGCGTTACCCCTGGAGTTTCCTTATCCTGACAGGGGTGAAGAGAACGTAATCGAGCGTTACCCCTGGAGTTTCCTTATCCTGACAGGGGTGAAGAGAACGTAATCGAGCGTTACCCCTGGAGTTTCCTTATCCTGACAGGGGTGAAGAGAACGTAATCGAGCGTTACCCCTGGAGTTTCCTTATCCTGACAGGGGTGAAGAGAACGTAATCGAGCGTTACCCCTGGAGTTTCCTTATCCTGACAGGGGTGAAGAGAACGTAATCGAGCGTTACCCCTGGAGTTTCCTTATCCTGACAGGGGTGAAGAGAACGTAATCGAGCGTTACCCCTGGAGTTTCCTTATCCTGACAGGGGTGAAGAGAACGTAATCGAGCGTTACCCCTGGAGTTTCCTTATCCTGACAGGGGTGAAGAGAACGTAATCGAGCGTTACCCCTGGAGTTTCCTTATCCTGACAGGGGTGAAGAGAACGTAATCGAGCGTTACCCCTGGAGTTTCCTTATCCTGACAGGGGTGAAGAGAACGTAATCGAGCGTTACCCCTGGAGTTTCCTTATCCTGACAGGGGTGAAGAGAACGTAATCGAGCGTTACCCCTGGAGTTTCCTTATCCTGACAGGGGTGAAGAGAACGTAATCGAGCGTTACCCCTGGAGTTTCCTTATCCTGACAGGGGTGAAGAGAACGTAATCGAGCGTTACCCCTGGAGTTTCCTTATCCTGACAGGGGTGAAGAGAACGTAATCGAGCGTTACCCCTGGAGTTTCCTTATCCTGACAGGGGTGAAGAGAACGTAATCGAGCGTTACCCCTGGAGTTTCCTTATCCTGACAGGGGTGAAGAGAACGTAATCGAGCGTTACCCCTGGAGTTTCCTTATCCTGACAGGGGTGAAGAGAACGTAATCGAGCGTTACCCCTGGAGTTTCCTTATCCTGACAGGGGTGAAGAGAACGTAATCGAGCGTTACCCCTGGAGTTTCCTTATCCTGACAGGGGTGAAGAGAACGTAATCGAGCGTTACCCCTGGAGTTTCCTTATCCTGACAGGGGTGAAGAGAACGTAATCGAGCGTTACCCCTGGAGTTTCCTTATCCTGACAGGGGTGAAGAGAACGTAATCGAGCGTTACCCCTGGAGTTTCCTTATCCTGACAGGGGTGAAGAGAACGTAATCGAGCGTTACCCCTGGAGTTTCCTTATCCTGACAGGGGTGAAGAGAACGTAATCGAGCGTTACCCCTGGAGTTTCCTTATCCTGACAGGGGTGAAGAGAACGTAATCGAGCGTTACCCCTGGAGTTTCCTTATCCTGACAGGGGTGAAGAGAACGTAATCGAGCGTTACCCCTGGAGTTTCCTTATCCTGACAGGGGTGAAGAGAACGTAATCGAGCGTTACCCCTGGAGTTTCCTTATCCTGACAGGGGTGAAGAGAACGTAATCGAGCGTTACCCCTGGAGTTTCCTTATCCTGACAGGGGTGAAGAGAACGTAATCGAGCGTAACCCCTGGAGTTTCCTTATCCTGACAGGGGTGAAGAGAACGTAATCGAGCGTTACCCCAGGAGTTTCCTATGCTGACAGGGGTGAAGAGAACGTAATCGAGCGTTACCCCTGGAGTTTCAGAGAGAGAGAGAGACATCTTTACTTCTGGCTTTTAGAGCTTTATATTTTTGCAATAAATGATGAAAAATGGTTGAATTTTAGTTAGCTGATATGGTGTCAATGTTAGTTCCATGATTTAATATTAAATCTATAAAAACTGAAAAATTTGACACTGAAATATTAAGTGTGATACCTACAGGATCTGACATGAGTGTCTATGTCATATTGAGTTCATTGAATGTGTTCAATAATTTGATAGGACGCGAGCCTTTTGGCAAGTGTCATATCAAATTGTTGAATGTGTTTAATAAATTCAATAAGACATGAACACAAATGTAAGATTTTATTTATCACAGAACATTTATATATTTATTTATTTTTATTAAATAATGAACAGTTTTTAATGCAGTAAATATAATAATGACAAAATAAACATTTCAAGTAGCAAAAACAGTGAAATACAATACTTGTCATGTCATCAAAGGATAAGAATTTGAACATATTGGTTAATGTTCCCTTTGGGGCCCCGCCCTAGCCCCTGGGGATTGGGCTGGAATGCCAATTTTTCAATGTAATACCCTCAATCACCAAAGATGATTCTGACTTAAGTTTGAGTAATTTTCTGCTGAAAATAGTTAAAATATACCCAAGTGTTATTTCCCTATATAAACTATAGTAAACTTTACTCCTCTCCAAGGGAGAACGGATAGCTCGGGGGTCCTGAAATTTACAATTTAAGTAAAGCCCCTGATGATCTTTCTTTCCATGCATAGAAAATGACTGTAGTACCTCTGAGTCTGGAGAAGAAGATTTTTGAAATATTGGTTAATTTTCCCTTTGGGGCCCCGCCCTGGCAACAGGGGTTGGGGTAGGAATTTCAATTTTACAATTTGAAACCATCTTCCTCCATGGATAATTCTCATCAAGTAAAAATAATTTCCTGGAAAAAGTTGTCAAAATATACCCAAAAGTGTTATTTCCCTATATAAACTAGAGTAAACTTTACCCCCTCCCCAGGGGAGAATGAATAGCTTGGGGGTCCTGAAATTTACAATTTAAGTAAAGCCCCTGATGATCTTTCTTTCCATGCAGAGAAAAAACTGTAGTACCTCCGAGTCTGGAGAAGAAGATTTTTGAAATATTGGTTAATTTTCCCTTTGGGGCCCCGCCCTGGCCCCAGGTGTTGGGGTAGGAATCCCAATTTTACAATTTTGTAGCCTCATCTACCAGGGATGATTCTGACAAAGTTTGAAAAAAATCCATTCACTGGTTTTTGGGGAGAATTTGAAAACGTAAAAGTTTACACACGACGCACGACGGACGGAAAGCTATTAGAATAGGTCCCTTGAGCAAAGGTCAGGTGACCTATAACATGCAGTTAATGAAGTTCACAGTAGTGACAAGTGACGAACGAATAGGATCCCACGGCTTTGACCAATCGCAGCACCTTTAATTTATATTACATACACACATGTATTACCAGATTTATGACATGGCCGTATGACAGAGTAAAATGGGTCAGTTATGTGATAAATTATCTTGGACTGACACTGTCAAATTATACATTTGACATACTTGACAGTGGTTTCTACCATTTCATGTTTGCTCAATCTATGAAGTTGTTTCAGAAGTTAGTGTTTCTCCAGTGTATCACCACAGAGTTTTAACATGGCATCAGCGTACCTGGTTATCCTGAGTTACGGCCCTTTCTTCTGCCAGCTGTTCCTCCAGACAGTGTTGTAACTTAAGTGCCTCCTCTCTGGCTCGTTTCACCTCCTCATCACGCTCCAACAGACCCTTAAATCATACACAACATATACTCTACACCAACAGTCCCTTAAATCATACACAACATATACTCTACACCAACAGTCCCTTAAATCATACACAACATATACTCTACACCAACAGTCCCTTAAATCATACACAACATATACTCTACACCAACAGTCCCTTAAATCATACA